TTGTTTGTTGCAAGTTCACATTACTTAAAAAGGAAGATAGATACAGCCATTTTTTGAAGTTGATAAGTTTATTAGAATTAATCAGCACTAAATTGTGGGCTGTTAAACCACTAGTGCTCAGCTATCAAAACGTGCCTTAGTTCCAGAATGTTAAAGGCTGTTGCACAGTAGTGTGTACAGGTCCACATTTGATACCAGTAGATACACTGATGAAAACTACAGATTGAGATTATGTTGCAATTATTATTGCAAGGTACCAGTCACTGAATGAATCCTGCATTGTACTTAAAACTAGACCACTTATTGAAGTTAGTGAAAATGAAATCATTCACACCTGGAGAACAAAATGAAGTTTCATTATCACTACCAATTTCTTATTAAAAAAAAATCACTCACCCTTTTACATTCTAAATCTTGTCACATTAGGCATTTTCTCTCAAGCTAGCTGGCAGCAACATCTGAAGATGCTTTTAACATTTCCAGTGTGCAATACTGTACTTGAAGCATATTTTATATCAAATTGTTAAGAATTAGTCCCACCATATGCATTTGTAAAGTTGTCAAATTAATACTTCAATACATAAAACATACTGTTGGTTAATTTCCACTTGTGTAATGCAACACTAAAGGGAGTCGGTAATTAAAACGCTGTATACACTCTTACCCTTACAGAACAAATACAAACTGGAATTAATTGATACCTCCCTCTATTTTTTATTTGTCAAATTACAGATTTTTGTATTACAGACTCGTGCTCCTCACACACGCAAGCTCGGTCTCTCACTGCCAACAGTCACAGCAGACTGAACAAGCTCCACAAATCAGAGCAACGTGTAAGATTGTAATTACCGACATTAGTGACATCACATCACCTTCAAGGACATCAAAATTTACAAGTTATTGAAGACATCTGAACAGAATAGTGCATTACACTAGAAACCAAAAGGAAAAGGAAAACTCCATGCTTTCTGAACACAAAGAGGAAGGGCAAAATAGGCATACTGGAAGGTCCTGTATGGACATAATGGTCTACTGATTGAGTAAATGGTAAAGAAAACTTACAAAACAAATAGAAATCCTTTTCAAAATTCATAATTAAGATTTGGTCAGAACCACGAGCATTTAACTGCTGATTCCCATGTTAAATTAATATTTGTTACATTTATTGGATGGTTTGTGTACTATGTGAGTAGTTCTTTAGGAAGATTTTTCACAAAAAAAGACACCTAATCTATTTTTTTAAATCTTTTCTCTCCAGAATATTATACAAGATTGCAGAGTCTGAAAGTGAAGGAATCGCCCAGAAAAAGTTGGGTCAAAATAACTGGTGCATGCGTCCGCCACCGGAATTAGAAGGGAAGAGCAAAAGGTTCATATTAAAAAGTGATTTAAGACTTAACATTTATTTTATACAGAAAGTGTTGCGAATTTCCTCCCATCTGATTGGAGTGGTGCGAAGAATCAATGCGACCTGCAGCCGCTCTTGCAGTAAGTGCGAGTGGTAAAAGGGGATTCCGGTTGGGATTCTGTGAAGAGACCTGCCAGTTACCAGTTTAATTACTGCAGCACTGGCTCCGACTCTGCGGACTGGTCTCCTGGAGGTCCACGCCCCTGGTTCGGCCTGAGGTTCCACCTGCATTCTGAGGTTCATTCTTCGGCAGCTTTTTGGCTGTAAGAAGTTTTAAAGACAAAGTCATATTATTGCAGAACACTATTTAGTTAGAACATAAAAATTTGGTTGTGCACAATCTAGAGTAGTTGTACAAATTTCAGATGAACTTTGCTAGCTATTGTCATTTACTGAGAACCTAGAATACCAAGCTCAGGAAGGAAGTGGTGGTCAATACAATGTCCAGACTTTAAGAACACAAGGTAGATTCATGGCTGGAGGTTTTTCTGTTATTGCACAGCCTTTGATTTTGACTTGTCTCCTCTATAAAGTTACACAAGTATAGAAAGTGCTTAAAACTCCCAAGAAAATTCTTAATGTCACCTCACTATTGTAGTCACAATCTCTATTGAAAATGTCCCTTTATCACTTTAAAAATGAAGCCTGGTAGTCAACCATGTACAGTGTTGATTATAAAAATGGCAGGAAACATCAGAAGCTTGATTGACAAGATCTACTCGGAGAATGGGAGTAAGGTGGAAGACATGGACATTCAGCTAAGTTCAGATAAAGATGTCAATGGTGTAGATGGAGCAAAAGGTTTACTTAGATAAAAAAAAAAAAAAACGACCTGTGCCCCCTCATGGAATAGGGCAAGAACACAATTTAATTTTAAGTTCTGAAAAACACACTAAACATGGTTTTCTCAGCATAATGAAAACTGATATTACATACTTTTAGAGCATCATGTCCCAGCAAAGAATGCAGTTATTACAGAGCATGAGCTTCAGCTGGTCTTTTGCACAAAAAATGAGGTGAACTATTTTGATTGAATGCTCATTGTCTGATAACAGATTCAGCTGAGGTGAATATGTATTCTGAAACAACCTCAGAGCCAAGGCCAAATGGAATGAACATTGCTTGGATTAAAGACTTGTGTTCTGAAATCCTAAAAAGGGAATGTTTGGAGAATCCTACTATTAGGGAGCATGCATTCCGCACAGCCACTGACAGAAATAGGTGGGAATTTTTTCTTTATTCATGGGATGAGAGCATCGCTGGCTAGGCAGCATTTATTGCCCAGAGGGCAGTAAAGAGTCAGCCACATTGCTGTGGGTCTGGAGTCACATGCAGGCCAGACCAGGTAAGGATGTTAGTTTCCTTCCTTAAGGGACATTAGTGAACCAGATGGGTTTCTCCTGACAAAAAACACTGGATACATGGTCACCGTTAGACTCTTAATTCCAGATATTTGTTGAATACAAACGCCACCATCTGCCATGGCGGAATTCAAACCCAGGTCTCCAGAACATTCTGGGTCTCTGGCTTAACAGTCTCGTGATAACACCACTAGGCCATTGCCTCCC